AAAATTATTGACTCAATGAGCTGTATTAACAGGTGTCTTGTAATTGAACTCTTCGTTCATATAGTCTATGATATCGTGAGATGGGGTAGCGGAGCTGGAAGAGGTTCGATTTAAAACTTGTATTCAGCCCTTTTTTTCGTAAATGCATGCCTGAGCAAAATCTTTCGCCTTTCTCGGACCTTTACATCTCCTTTTTCATTGTTTGGCGTCAAAAACTTTTGTCGGAGGATCTATATAAGAGCTTCACAAACATACACCAAAATATAATGAACTAAAAAGTTTGTCAACTCTATTGGATTTGTTCTTGACACTAATCAGGAAAGATTTGAAACTTGAAATTTTCGCAAAGTTAAGTCTTTTCTATGGTCATTAAATAAAAAGCTATCATTCACCGTTTCAAGAAATCCTACATGAACTGAATTCTTTTCAATTCATCGGTCGAGTTATATTCAAGCATAAAATTTGAGCGAAAAATAAGAATACGAAGACAAAGGATTATTTTTGGAAGATGGTCAAGCACTAACAGTGATAAAACTAATTAGTCTCTTCCAGTAAGGCTTGTTTATTGATATAAAAAACTAAGAATAAATTTAACTAAACATACATCCTTTATTAAAGTATCATTTGTGCTAGAAAAACTACTGTGAAATGGGCTTTCTGATTTCCGTCGTAAAACTACAAGAATCTAGCTGAAAATAAGAAATGATGCTGTTCAATAGAATAGTTGCAAGAACGCTTTTTAGGAGATGATTTGGCTTAAAATTTCTCTCTCTCTCTCTCTCTCGTATTTATTTGGTAGAAATATATCTGCTACAGAATTTCTATTCCAAAAGTGACTCTTTCAACCAAAACCAAATTTGATCGATTTAGAAGTTGATAATATGATATACTGAAGTTTGACATTATTTCAAAGACTTGCACTGCCTATAGTCTAATTTAAACATCTGTGATTAAATCGTAAACATCAATGTTCGAAAAAAGAGTTCTTATATTCAATTAATATTTTTCTGATATACTCTAAAGGATTTTAAATCATTCATATATTTTATCAACATGTAAAATTGTTCTTCTTGAAATATTACTTTTGTATCTTTTAATTTTATTTGACAGAGTCAGATTTATTAAATTTAGCTGAAACATACTTAACATACTGTTCAATCATCGTATTTTTTAAATAAATTATTTACTCTCTTCTTTTAGTACGTTTCATCGCTACGAAACGATTTAATCTTCTGTTGACTATTAAAAACTTCTTTCAAAATCTCAATTTATTTAAAACATCATCTCAAGATCCGAGTATTATACAAAGACAACGTCTTACAACTCGTCTTTTTCTCGTGCTTATTATAATAAGTATCATTATATACAGCTTTTATATAAGTATCTCAACTCAAACGAAAACAATAATTATAACTAATCCCTCTCGAGATGAATATGAACAACTTTGGAAAATGCATTCAGATACTGTTTATTGTCCGTGTTCCCAAATTGTCATTCCATATTCGAATTTTATTGAAATTATACCTAAATTTCATCAATTATGTTCAAGTATGTTTATTTCTCCGGAATGGTTTAATATGTATGGTGCGGTCGAATTTACTCTAGATAGTCTTCAATTTGCAGGAACACTTGGAGCGCATTTTTTTAAAGGTCTCGCCGCATTCTGTTCCATAGCAGAGCAAACTGTGATTAATTCCTATCGAGTCTTTTCTGCCAAAACTTTCATTACTAATCGCGTATTGCCTCAAACTATCTTTTATAATGAAGTCAGTATTCTGGTTGATAAATTCAACAAATCGACATTTTCTGAATTCTATCGTGCTATCTTACTTGCTCGAGTGACCTCACAATCGAATGCATTTGCTAGTCGAATAGCAGTAGATGATATGTTCTCGATAGATAATAACTATCGAATATTATTAACACCAGGCATAATAAGTATTCATGCTAGAGGATTTGGATCCCTTTTTTGTTCTTGTTTGTTGCCAAAGGATAACTGTTACATGTATGGATATGTTTACAGTTCTACTAGTCTATACAACAGGCTTAACATTGAGAGTCTATTGATTAAATGTATCTTGACTGAATCGATACTGTCCTCCACATTAGAATGTTGGTACAATCATTCTTGCTTGGAGCTCATACGTACGGATTATATCAGGAATGGCGTTACCGATATCATTGATATTGCTCCTCTTGATGCAAATCTTCCAAGTATATTTGCTATAAGCGATACAATGGAAGTATTGACAAATGCACTTTTACTCGAAAATTTCTCTATCAACATATCCTATGATCAATATTATGCTAACTGTGCTCCCTTGTCCTGTATTTATACTATTGAAGAATCTTTCGATTTAATTTTTCTGATTACTAGTATTGCGGCTTTCTATGGTGTTTTAAACAAAATTTTTTGGCTAAGTTTACCATTTATTGTTCAATTAACTTTAATCATTTGGAAACGAATTCGAAAACAGAATCTTTCTATTAATCAATCGACATCAGTTGTTGAAATGACGCAATATAATGGTAAGTTAAGCGAACTAAATTTTTTTATTGTATTCTAAAGAATAAAGCCTTTTGGCCATGTATGATTACCGATTTTGGTCTATTATGTAACACGATCATCGAAAGACTTCTGCTGACTGATCTTCTGCTTTTCAATTGACATTTTGGATTGCGAGGAATTGCAGAATGTATGAAATTGAAAGAACATTTGAAAAAATATGTCATCACTAGTTAAAATAATATATTTAATGACAAGTATTTTCTAAACATTTGGAATTAATAGTTGGAAAAAGTAGTTAAGTTCACCAGAAAATCTTTGTTCGAAGTGTGCCAGAAAATCATTCTATGCTTTCTTTCTGCGATGCTCTTTAAATACAAAAGACTCCTCATAATGGTAACTAAATTTTAAAATTTTCAGATGTTGATTTCATAGATACTAAGTATTTTGTTTTTCTAAGTCGTTGGTTTATAATCAAACACTTTAGTGCATTCTTGAAGTTTTCTGTGAGACTTACTTGTATAGAACTCGATTGTTCAATAACACAGGTATTATATTAAGACACTTTGCAAAAACTAAAAACATCAATAAATGTTTACCTGATTTCGACAGTCACTTTCTCAAACCAGTTTCAAAGATTAAAAAATAAAATCTGTCTTTTTTTTGCAAAAGAGAATTATTAAAGTGAAACAAACAAAATTGAAAAATATTTCTTTTAACATTTAGTGATCATCACGTATTGTGTAAATGTGATTCTGATTTGTTTCAGTTCAGCGGTAGTTGAGGAAAATAGCCAAGACGTTTCTCAAACCCCTATCTAAGATAAATTTATTTTCATTACTAATTATTTTATTGCCTTCTTATCTGCTGCACTTTTTTCAGCACCAAGCATCTTCATATAGAAAATTCACATGTAAATCAGTATATAACGTTTTGCAATATATATGTCGTAGAACAAATTAAAATCCAGTTCAGTTTTAAATCGAACTAGGACAGATTAAAATTTCGAAGTCAACGAGTTGACTTCGTAACGCAGTTTAATCTCAACTAATGTCGGCGTCAGAAGTAGATGGAGAAAACTCAAGGAGGAATATCTCCTGAACGGATGCAGCTAGCGACCTGCGGTTTTCACCATTAGAAAGAAAACACCCAGGGGCATCCACANAAATTTGAAGTACACACAATTAAATGTACTATAAATACTGATAGGAAATTTTGGATATTCCTCTATTTTAAAATTAGCAGGGCAGGGCAGGGCAGGTTACAGGTTACATTAGAAAGTTTTAGGGCAGGGTCCGCAAAAATATTCACAGGGCAGGGCAGGATCAGGTTACAAAAAATTTACAGGGCAGGTTACAGGTTATAAAAATCCTGCACCCTGCAGCCTTCTATTGTAATTATCCATGACTAAATAAAATCAAGCAACTCGACTCTTAGTTAAAATCTCATAGATTTTCTGGGATTCTTGCAAGAGAGAAATCCTCATGTTTATTATCGAATCTTCAATCGTGTTACATCTTCGTTCGAGATCCAACACCATTTTTACTGCGAATCGCTTACATTGCATTCATCTATTGTGGGCACCAGAACTAAATGTACATTAGTGTAAGCTCAATAACTCTATAATGATAGCAGCTAGCAATCTGTGATTTTCACCATTCTAGAAAGAACATCCTTGGCCATCATATTATCTTGAAATTCAACTGGTCAACCACTAACAAAGCAGATGAATTCTTGATGAAGTTCTTTGAAAACGATATTTTGAAGCCATTTCTCTTTCGATTCAAAAGTTTGATATGACCAATCAATAGGAAAACGTGTTCCCTATTGATTTACACAAAGTCTACATTACTAGCTTGTTCGATTCAAGAGCTATAAGACTTTTTTTTGAAATCCCTGATTTCAACTAATTCACCTAATATCACGCAAAAAAGCACCTAGGTTGGGGGGCAATCCACTATGACATGTATAATGATGGCATTTATTCTTAGACTTAAATTCCTGTGACACTATTATATTAATATTTTCGAAACTTCACATTCGTAGCTCTATGTAACGAAGAAGTTTGTATTACGAAAATATTAATTTTGGCGCTGACAATTGCTACATACATAACTGGACAGATCAATCATCAAAAAAGAAAAGGCAAAGCTTCGGTCAGGCTCGCTCACAAGACTAAACAAAAGCACAAGTTTTTGCGAGACGGACAGAGAGTCTCGATTTGGTCTTGATCTTGACACACATTCATAGTCTTCTTCTTTCACGATTGATCCATTTTCTTCTAGTTCCGAAGACTTCGTACATGATTAAAATCCGAGAATATGTATTTAAATTCAATCTCTTTCAAAATGAGTCTAGTACAAATGATACTCGACGACAAGAAATTATATCGACACGTCTCTATCTTGTTTTGGTGATCAATTTCACAATTGTCCTCTTTCTCTATACTGGATTAGTCGAGCGAACTACTAGCAACATGGTCTCAACTCCTTCAATGTCAACTTATATAAATCTTCAAGAACATTATTCTAACACATTACAATGTCCTTGTGCCCATATGTCTATAACTAACAATGAATTTATTATGTTTCTCAATGCAACATATCATCCAATATGCTCCAGTAATAATTTCGTAAATAAATGGTTTAATTATTTTTTTATCTATCAAGATGGTCGAGCATGGTGGCTTAACGTAAATGATTTTCGTTATTGGTCTATCCTATTCTTTAATTTTCTGGAAAAATATTGTAAACTAGCAAACTCAACCGTCAATAATGCCATTGAACAGTTTAATTTAGTGTCATTTGTGTCATCTGAAGTCATGTCTCCGATTCTATTTAAAACACAGGTGGACATGACAATCAATTTATTGCAAAAGTCAATTTTGATCTTATTTGCTCGTCAACTACAAATGTTTCGTGGCGTTATTCAAGGGAACGGTTTAATATCGAGTTTGGAAACTAGTATGGAATTTAAGGTAGATCAAATTGCTGTCGATGCTCCTGTATTTGTTATACCAAAAACTTACAATAATGGAACTTGTTCATGTGCAACTTCAAGTACCTGTGTAGAATTGGCAAGTTTCTACAATGTCACTCATCACACAGTCTACACTATTGAAAATATTTTCATTGGATGTTTTTTAATTGAATCAATTCTTCATTCATCACTCTCTTGCTTTTTTTCAAATTCATGTATGACTGATCTCATGAAAGCGACGATCCTTGGGATTCCAGGTTCCAATTGGCGACCCAGAATAATCGACATTTCACCACTACAATTCTCGTCATCAACTTCAAACTTTAGAATCAATGACACAATCGAAACAATGGTCTATCAGTTGTTTATTGATTTTTGGTCAAGTGAAATATCTTATGAACGATATTATAATGCATGTGCACCAACACATTGTACTTATTCGTATGAAAAACGTTTGGATGTTCTTTATGCAGTCACAATTTTCTTGACTGTTATCAATGGACTTTCTCTTGGACTTCGTTTTGTTGTTCCAATTTTCGTGCGACTAGTATACAAACTACGAAATCGTCTTTGCGGTTACTATGAATGATAGACGCAATTTTTAAAACTGGAATACATATTTCATTGAACGATCACATAATACAAATACATAAAACAACCTTCTTCTTATAAATAGTGTAGCCTTTAAAACTGATTTTTGAGGAGGAAGTCTTCAACTTGATACTAATTTGTTTATAAGTCAGAGCTATTGATAAGACTTATTGAAATTGTTTACTCTGAGATGTTAATCATTAACTAGTATCCGAATTACATTTAAGAGTATCTCTTCGAAATACTTTGCAAGTGGGAGATGATCAATGTTCAAAAATGAAACGCGTCGAATTAAACGACGATAAACAGTCTAAACACTTAAAATGAAAGTCTTATTTTAGATACATTGTTCTCATCTGATTTGAACCGGACAATACCATCAATTAATTGATCAGTGTAGTGCGCGCTATAATACCTGATGGCATACGGTTTTTTTTTAGAGTGAAATATCGCAATGTCTTGTGTGAGAAGGGTTCAATGTTTTTGAAATCTATAAAAATTGTCAGAATTGGTTCAATTCCATTGTCACTATTTGTTGTTGATGCCTTTGAGCTGCCTGTACTAACCAAAGGGCCCTAAATGACATAAGTTTTTTTATTGAAAAGGTGGCTGCAAAAAATATAATGAATAAAATATATTGCAAAATTGTTTCTTGATCGATAGATAAGTGTTCTTTTTTTTTTGTGAAAAATTTGGACTCTTATAGAAAGGATCTTTGTCACCGTTTAAAGCTCGAACCGGACAGTTTAACAGCCACTGACGGTAAAATGTCAATATATCGAAGGTACTGGGAATAAATCTGCGATATGAATTATTTTAAGTTTGACGAGATTGACTTGAGTGAAGAACATGTATTTCTTAGCTCCTATGGATTCCAGAACTAATGCAAACTTGGAAAGGTTTATAACAAATTCCAAAAGCTTGAGAAGCTGATGGACACTCTAACAGTATAGCAGCAAACATCAGAAAAAATCATTCCAATTAGATGATAACCCGAAAACTATGATATTTAATGAAATTGAGATCCTTACAGGGCAAGATGTGCCCCAGGAGAAGAGAAAATGACAGAGGGTAGAGTGGGAAGTGTGAATGTGGATTTAGGTTTGGGTATGAGAATAATGCCCACACCCACACCCATACCGTGTGGTCGAAATGGCGGTAGTACAGAATGCGATGAACCATATATCTGGATAGGACATTGCTTTGAGGCTTCATGTACAACTGAAAATGACTGTAATGGATCGTTGGTTTGTGTGAATGAAAAATGCGGTATTCAGTCTTCTGGTAGTTGCACTAGTAACCCTTCTGGAACTTGTTCACTTTCAGGTGCACTGCAAAGCACTAGGTAATCATTTTATTTAGCTCTTCGATGCAGTAAGTATTCGTTTTTTTCCTAGTACTAACTGCAACACAGATATATGTCTATGTGCTATAAGAGAGGAGAATATTATCCTCAATATCAATGCTCTCCTCCCTGCGATGATTCGGCTATACTCACATTGAATAGTCTTCAGTAAGGTGGTGATGGTTGTGGTGTAGGTGCATGTTTTCGAAAGTTTTATTCTGATTCGGAGCGTGTCGTCGCCATATCAACAGGATAGTACAATGGAGGATCATGATGTGGGAAAATGGCTACCATTCGCGGCAATGATAAAACAACAACAGCACAAGTCGTTGGCGAATACGACTCAATCAATGTATGTGACGTAGTACATGCAGGCCAACCTCCATGTCGTAACAATATTGTCGACGGGTTTCCAGCTGCCTGGAAAGCAGTAAGTCGATCCTAGAGCAATTCACAATATGCACACATGACCATTTCATGGAGTGACTAATTTTTATGGATTAAAAAGCTTGTTATTGTACGTATGTACAATTTGTAAAATGAAAAAAAAGTGTCATACTTCATATTTATTTTCCAACGTAATCTATCGGTATAAAAATAATCTTTCTTTTTTATTCTTCCATACTTAAGAAAAGAAAATTTTCTATTTGTACTAGCGCTCTATTTTTGTCTAAATTATTTCTATGGAACTTTTTTTTCTTAATTTAACCTTATTGTCGTTCTAACGATTGACTGAGTTTTCAAATAAATTTGTTGCACAAAATATACATTGATATCTACAGCAAGCTTGAACGAACTATCATAAATCTCGATCAGCTCAGAAACATGGACACAGTTTGTTTTTAAAGTATCCATTCGATCTATTCATTTGATTTATAACAACCAAATGAAGAGTGGAAAATTGAGGTTTCATCATTCATTCTTATTGACTTATTGAGTATAATGTTCTTTTTTGCTTCAAAGTCTCAAAAACTTTTATTTCAGAACATTGACAAAAGCATTCTATATAGTCATTGAAATTCAGATAAAAGCTATCAAATGTTCCAAAACGGTCGAACTGTTGTAGTTCATCGACTACGGTGTTTTTTCATTGCTGGTGAGTTCATGAGAAAGAGTCAGATGCTTGTTTGTATAAGCTGTTGAGATCTTTGATATGCAGCATTTGTAATAGCTAAGAGAGAAAGGGAGAGCTGCAAAACTTCGAGTTAACATTTACATTCACTATTTTCTTGGAAAATATATGTTAGCTCTACCAAATCAAGTGAGATGACATAATAATTAATATTAAATGAAGTCATATACATCTTATGTTTGGTCAAACGTTTAGACTCAACTGCAAAGCCAGTATGTACTCACAACAGTCTCTTCAAAACCGTATCGATGTTGATTCAAAATATTAGTAACGTACATAGGAGTCTAAAAAAGCACTTTCGATGAAGGAAACGAAACAAGAGTGAATTCAGCATTCAATCGAATGAAACAAGTGTATTCCATACTATAGCCCGTCCAAAAAGTCCGTGCGTGTGACTGCTTTTTGAGTAACTCGAGAACGCAAACAGCTAGAGACCTGCAGCTTTCACCAATCGAAAGAGGAGTGGTTAGGGCGTCTTTTTCTCTGATAATGTATCAGACGAAATTCTTTTAAAACTGATCATTTTTGAAAAATATAGAAAAGAATGCATGAAAATGACATACAATACACGTGAAGTTTCGATTATGACCTTTGATTTAGATAGAGGAACTTCAGATATATAGTTCAAAACATAATAGACTTTCTTACGTTTCATTACCTTTTCATCGAAGTTTTCAGCTGNATGTAGGAAAAAATGAATTAACATTTCAAGTGGAATATCACGTGAAATAATGAATATTATCGATAGAAGTCGTTCAGAAAAGGAATTGTTTAACCCTTTGTCCCTTCTTGATCACTGGAGTAACCATTTTTTTGAAAAGCTACAGAAAATCAAGAAAGCATGAAATTCGAAAATTTTAAAAGCCTTTTTCGTAGTCAAATTCCATAATCTGTCGATTAATAAAAAAGAACTATTTTGTTGGATTGCTGTCTCCAGGAGCTATCACTTACAAAATCAATTAGTTTTAAACATCGAAAAAATTGAAATTTGAAAAGATTTTTTTTCGTGCAGCTAATGGAGATCTATGAGGCATGCTTTATGGTATAAATAGAGAAAACAATTCTACCAGTGATTTATATGTCTCGAAAGTTTCACAGCACCTTGGTAGATGATAGATGATATTACATAAAATGGTCATTCAAGTGGTTGTAGACGGAAGGTGACACGAAAAAGGACTTTTCTGTATATTTTATGCGCTTTTGTATTTATAATGTTTCTTGATAACTATGGGTAGTTAAGTCAATCGTTGACATTACTTATAGATACAAGTTTGATCTGTCATTATTAGATGTGAGTGGTAGGATTCTCACTCCTGTTACTTGGAGAATAAACCCAAGATGGAGGCAGCATAGTTTTTCAGGGTGGGACAGAATCCGGCTTCAAACTAAAAGGAGATGATTCTGTTCTCTTAGCTATACTTCACTCTTTTGTAAATATGATCAGAGTGGTGCCTGGTTGAATTTTAACTTCATTTTTGACAAGATAGACTCACATCAGAAGTCAGAATTATGCTGTTCATGTCTATTAAAATGACACACAGTACTAACACCTCTGAATAACTCTAACCATTGACACGAATGCGCATTATTATTAAGGAAAAAATATAAATATATGATGAAATAAAATATACGAAAAAGTCACTTTTCATGTTATTCTCTCCCAATGTTCACGAAATTGATCAAAGCATTTTATACTAAGGGTAATCTGTCTAGTCGATTTACTAATATTCTGTAGCATATTGATGGAAGCAACACTCTATGGTTGTGAATATTTTATCAATGGCTCTTCTAGAATTGTGTTGATGGGAAAGGGACTAAAACCAATTGGTTTCCAATAATTTTTAAATTATCATTTATCTCGTTTTTTCTTCATTCATAAGTGCTGTGATTGTTTTAATCAAATTTATAAGTAAACAACAAATGTGTTCCCGGTGATTCTCAAGTATTTATTAGAATTTTGTTAAGTATTATATAGAAAAGAAAATCGTTGCGCTTTCCTATACTAATTAAAATATTTTTATTCTTCATTAAAAAAAAAGGAATCCCCTTCACAAAATACACATTTGACATTTTATGCTTTTGATTCATGCAGAAAAAGATAATTGTGCAAAACTTTTGGAAGCACACTAATCTAATGGTGTTCAGACTTACGGAAAAGAGAAATTACTGAATATATCTTCAACATATACACAACTACTTCTGAAGCAATTACAACAATTTCGACAAAACATCTTAAACTATCGATATGCACAGCACAATTTTCGAAGCAATGTATCGTTACATAATCATCTATCCGAAACAACTCTTTCCCGACTCATAGAAATTTCTTTGCCATGAGATAACAGCATCCCGTAAACTATCGTAATTTTTCCAGTGCCAATTCTTATACATTAAGATATAAATATATGAGAATAAAGAATCCTACCGGGTACAGCTATAACAATTTTCAGGAATTACGAATATTGATATGTTTCTATTCCTAATGTATTAAGTAACACATCAAATTCTGTAAGAATGAAGA